GAAGCTTCGCATGGTTTCCGCACATGTGAAGTAGACAGGCAGCGTGTGACCCTGTCCAACCGTCACAGTGACGAGGGGGGTCAGGCCGCCATAGACAGCGCCCCTCACGACGGCGCTGCACACCTCAAAAGTGTGAGAGTAGAGAAGAGGCCCGCCATGGCAAGAGGCCACGCGGGGAGACGGAGAGAACACGCTGTCGGTGCTCGCTAACAACTCTCTCTCTCTACTCGCTGCTCGCAAACGCTCGCAATCGCTGGTGACAGGGGCTGTAAACAAACGATAGGGCGCTCAAAGCTGGAAAGCTGTGAACAACCTAGGAAATTTGTGACTTGAACAAATGCAAGCGATCTGCATTTGAGCCCCGGAGTCACTTGTCCGCGTCAGCTCAGCTTTGCTATAGCACAAATGCTAAGGGATCCCTTTGGTGCAAGCCAGGCTTAGCCAAATGGCGAGGGCTTGAAGGCCGTCGATCGTCGCATCGAACGGTTCTTATTTGCTCTTGGGGTCGCCGCGCGGCGCTTTCGGGAGCGTGGCGGCTGCCAGCCGGCGGCACGGCCGCTCCGCAATCATTGAATTTGTTCAGTGTGATCGAGGCGGCGCCACATCCTTGCATCCCTGAAGGCGCAATTTTGCAAGGGAGTACGTAATAATGTTCTTAGAGCGCTTTCAAGAAGCAATTTTCAGCTCATGCAAAATGGAAGAAGAGAAAGCAGCTGCTCTATATGAGTCCCTCAGTCGACAGGGCCTAGGGGCCGCGCGGTTCAAGCAGGGGTTGGGGTTCGGCGGCGGGGGTGGATTCGATGCAGGCGGCCCGGATTCTCCTGCAGCTCCTATTGCATTCAAAAAAGCGGGGGCTGACTTCAGCTCTGAAATCGAAAATGCTGAGAAGCAGCGGAATGAGGATGATGCTGTGTGGTCAGCAAAAAGGAATGCACATGAGAGCGCAAGAGTGGTGCGGAGCATTGCAGATAAGTTGAGCGGGAGGCGCAGCAGACGGGATGATGGTGAGAGAAAAAGGGGTCATGATAGTGACTCTGAGGAAGAAAGGGGTGTGAAGCGGTCTATTCGCAGGGGAAGGAGTCCTGATTCGGAGGGAGAAGATCACCGAAGGCGGCAGGATAGTGCGTCTCCTAGGATATTCAGGAGTTCCCCTGAGGGCCCTGTTGAGAGAAAACATGAGAGTCGGAGGGAAAGGAGTCCCAGTCATGGAGGTAGCGATGAGGAGGACAGGGCCCGGGAGAGGCGCATTGCAGAGAGACGGAAGAAAGAAAGGAAAGAAGAAGGAAAGTCTGGCAGGTCTGGTGCTGATAAAAGAGAGAGTGACAGAGGTTCTCATAGGGAAGGAAGGTCAGAAGACCGTCAGAGGAGGGGGGAGGAGAGACCTCAAAGAGTTGACACCAGAAGGAGGTCGAGGAGTCGGAGCAGGGAGAGGGAGAGGCGTGGTGTCAGTAACAGGGGCTCGGACGGGCGGAGGGATAGGAGGGAGGATGAGCGGCGAAACGAACGGTGCGGGTTTTGGCTCTTGTAAATTGTGCCGTAGGTTTGTAGTGTCCTTGCTCAATTCTTTGATGATGAGTGATGGTGGTCTGCAGGGACCTTTTTGCAGCAAGGTATCATGGCGTCCTGCTTACGCAACCACAATCTGCAAGTACTGATTCAATACATGGTGGATGTGACAGTCAATCCGTCTTCCTGTTGTGAGGCCAAGTCACTTGAGGTCATTGTTGTAGTCCCAACTAGTCTTGGAAGTTGTGTCACAGACCTTTCTTGAACCCTGTTCTCTTCTTTCCAAGTCCTTCGTATTTTCGCCCGTTTTTGCCTCATGCTGATCTCAGTTTCCTTTGGCAAACCCAAGATGATTTGGGGCTAATGCAATGTGCTCTGTGGCAACGTCTTGGCTCCCCCTTGATGCAGGAGTGATAGGGAAAGGAGGCGAGAGGAACCTCTGGAAAGATCCAGCGACAGGGACCATCGCAGGCACGCAGAGAGAAGCTCTAGACGGGAGCGAAGCCCCGGCAGAGGGAGGGACGCGGCCCGACAGGCTGTCAAAGTGAAGGCGAAGGATGATGTCATCGATTACGCGGAGGTCATCAGGGGCTACGAGAACATGGTACGTAGTTGCTACCGTTATGTTTCATCTGTGCGAGGATATATTTTGGTTCTCATTTCCAAAGAATTGGCGCTCTGTGTTACATTTGATAAAATCCAGTCGCTTTCTGCCTGGGCGCTGTGACTTTCATTTCTAGGGCAGGTCCTTGGGGTCCTCTTTCCACTTGTGTGGCGATGCATCAGAGAGAGAGCAGAAACGGATGCTGTTGACACTCAGTGTCTCTGGCACAGAATGTGATCGAGCAAACCTCAGCAAGACAAATCCAATGCAAAAGGCTCTTTTCCGTTGGGCACTGATGAATGGAAATGCAAACTGACAACCGCTTGTCAGAGTAGTTGCACGCGTACCTTGTCAACTTGCATGCATGCCGCGAAACCGGTTCTCCGCTGGATCTGTCCCGCTAAATTCCTGTCCTGCTGGAAAAATCATCTCGTCTTCCACGTGCTTGTCACAAGCCCGGCATTGTCACAAGCCAGGCTTCTTCCGACTTGAATACGCCTGCTTTCAAATTACGCCTGCTTTCAAATATACAAGGGACTGATCAAATGTGCGGAATATGTCGGACGACACCTCTACCGGCACTGCTGTGAACTCTCCCTTGATTCAGTGTCCAGTGTACATGAAACATGCGAGCCTTTTTCAGTTTGAAACGATAGAAAATCCAGGTTGGGAACCTCGAGCCGAACGCTTTAATGCGGACATTTTCGTGCAGGGTGCTGCAGAGAAGCTTAAGGCTCGGACCAAGTATGCGCTTTCTCAAACAGGTGAGTCAGGGTCCTTTATGTTACCGTTTCTGTTTGGCGCATCAATACGGCGGATTAAGTTGACAAAAAACGTGAACGAATGTTAGGGTCTGGGAAGCCGCCAAAAAACGCAACACTTGCAGTAAGATGTTGCTAGCCTGCTTTTTGAAGGTCCCTTTCTGCTTGACTGTTTGGCGTGCTTCATAAACAGTGTCAGCAATTTTCTGCTTTTGCCAGCAATCAGATTGCAATGTGGGGCTGGTCATTCTACCAGTCTTTTACTTCACTGCCCCTCTCGAATATCTCTTAGCGTACTGGTTCACCGTATAAGTACAGTTCCCGATACAATCTTCGCTGATATTTCGACAGCGCATGATCACAGCCTTTCTTCTGGCTCTACTGAAAACCGCTGATACCCGGAAGCCCAAGACTTTAGCATTATTTCGGCCCTATTCTCAACAGAGAACTGCCATGATCTGGTTTTCCGACTGACCTTCCTTCAAACAAAGACTTCCGGCAGTCATGCTGCGTGAGCCCAAGCTGAAGCAACCGCTTCCTTACCAATTGCTAGAAATCGAAGCCATTTCTACCCATCGCATGTCAGGCAATCCATTGTTAACAATCTTGCAGTACGGAAAGACTCTGCGAAGGGCGTATCGACGGAGTGGGAGCGCTTCGACTTCGATGCGGCGGCGCCGCTCGACGAGGACGCGCGGCAGGACATGTACGGAGGTACGTCGGCATGCCGTGGAAATGACGTCTCATTTTAGCTGATGTATGTCACAGCAAATGCGTGTAATTGTACCAGTTCTTTAATAACGAGCCTCCCTTACCGTTGCAAGTCCATGCCAAAGCGTGTTCCGTCTACGCCACTTCCCGTTTCGCATTCACTGTCGACGACTCTTTGCCTAACACTAACTTCGTGCAAGAAGTTTGAATTCTTGAGATGTTTCAACCGGCGCTAATCTCGTCTCTTTGTTCCGCTGCTTCGACCTTCGAGCTCTTTATTGAATAGAAACCCTTGACTAGTGCTCTTAGACGCTTGAGTTCATCCCTATCAAACGCGGCATAAGATCTTGCTCGATATGCATGTTTCTGCAAGATTTGCCTTCCTTTACCGCTGCTGGCACACATCTGGCAATTTCAGAATCTTTTGTCGAAGTTGAAATGCGATTGACTGCGTGTTTGTGCTTTGACGCAGATGACACCAAGGCGGGGGATGACGCAGCTCATCTCCTCAACACGGGCAGCACGTTCGGCATCGCGAAGGCGCAGGTGAGCGGCTTGAGAGCTTATCACAAAATGAACCCCCCAACAAATTGACGTCTGAAAGCCCTCCTCAAAAGTGCTTGCACCACGTAGGCGACAAACAGGACAACACTTTGACACCACGAAGGCACCGAATATGCCCTAGACGATTGAGTGACGCACATTGGCACGAGGCGGCCTCGCACAGTTTCAAGAGCGCGGAGTCGAGGCCTGCTAGAACGAATCATGGAACAATTGAGGAGCTACTGTACAGCCACCATACGTCGTTCGTCCCTTCTCAAAGCCCCTCACACTCTGTTTTTCTTGAGTGAATGTGCTAAGCTAAAGCTCGCGATTTAAGGGTAGCAGCTACTTAATCATCAGCAGCACGTCGTTCTCCCTGCCCAGATGCTCTACCTTACCGCTGACGTCACCACTCATTGCTTATCCACAGGCCGTACGAGAAGCCGAGAAGCAGGCCCCCCACGACTCCCCCCATCTTCGGCCTGCCCGTCGACCGCTCAGGGGACGCTGCTCCGGGTACTAAAACGCCCCTTTTCCGCTGGGTTACCACTAAAACGCCCATTTTTTGATGACGTCACCACTCGTCACCCTTTCGCAGGCCGTCCGTGAGGCCGAGAAGCAGGCCGCCCACGACGCCGCCATCTTCGGGCTGCCCGTCGACCGCTCGGGGGATCCCGCTGTCCCGAGCACTAAGATGCCCGAAAAGGCCCCGGTGTTTGTGCCCGGGGATAGCGAGGAGGACGAGGAGGACCGCCCGGTGATTGTTGAAGAGGAGCCGCAGGCGGAGGCGCAGCAACCGGAAACGAAGGCCGAGGTAAGAGTCGTTTGCCGTTTCTGATTTCTCGTTTCTCTTTTCGTTTTCTCTTTGCGTTCTCCGTTTTCGTTCCGTTTTCCGTTCTCGTCGTCAATTTCGTCTCTGTGGTCGTCTTCGTCTTCAATTTCGTTTCTGCTTCGCTTGTTCCACGTATTGAGTGTGGGGTTGATATTAAGTGTAATCCGTTCTGCTTTCTGCTGTCGGCAGCCAAGCACGCAGCGGTCATCCCGCGGCCTCACTGGCTGCTGACGCATCACGATATGTCAGCCGAATTTGAGCAAGGAACAAAGCTTTGCTTGACTGCAAAGCCATCGTTTTCGCTTCGCGGGTTCAGTACATCACATATGGATCTTAGGCAAAACAGGCGTTGCTCGGTGCTGACATCACAAGCCGGGTGAATTGGGTATCTTTCTGTCCGTCTCAGTCAGTAGAGAAGCTGACACTACAACTTGCTTGAGCAACAGAGTGTTACAATCTATCTTTGCAGGCGCCAGTAAAGGCCGCTGTTCCGTCCTGGAAGGAGCGCGCTCTCAAGGCGCAGCAGGCAAGGAAGCAGGCGGCCGAGGCAGCGGAGGCCGCCGCCCCTAGTTAGCCAGTCCAGGTAAGCGTGAATGTTTAGAGGAGATTGGACCGGTGACCTGATTTCTTTTCCCCTTTTCTAGCTTGGTGCTGTGAGGATCTTTTTGGAGTATTGGTTTCTAGTGGGGTTGCCTGTCGCCCGCTATACTTGCTCTCTGCTTGACTGACAAACGCTTCGGTCTCATTTGCAAGCATATCCTGCTTGACGCATATCCGCACGCCCGTATTATCCACCACAGCATAAGCCATAGCCACTCAGTAATGCTGACCGTTGCCCCCGTTTCTATCTGAGCCACCTCGTCCAACATCGTCACGACCAGGTTGCGGGCGCTCCCCTCAGCCAGCTAGTTTTACACGTCCGCCAACTGCCGCCAAAAGCTACATTAAATACATCGGACGTTCAACTTACGGACTTCTCGAGACAGCCTTCTTCGGAGTGTGTGACTCTTCTTATCTAGCTGCGACTTCCCCCAACATCGTTTCTCCGTCCGCCTTCCAGACCCCACCTGACGCCGAAGGGCACAACGCTGACAGTGGAGGCAAGGAAAGCACCCGTTGACTACGAGGAGCTGCGCAAGCAACAGGAGCATAGTATTGGTGCTTACATGTCCCCATCAGTCCTTCATTTCCTTGCTGCAATTGGGACCTACTTCAAAGCGAACAGGATGTACCGCGTTTACAAAGGTAAGCTCGGCGTCCTGTTTGATTGGCAGGCCCTGTGTAAAATGCCCGTCCAAAGGTTTTGGGGTGCCTCCTCTGACGGCTGGAGCACGCCTTTAGGTTCGGTGTTAAGTCAAACCTGGCGGGACGTTCAGAAATTGCGCGGGGCTGAGCCAATTACGTTTGGCCTTTTCACCAGCACGGCAAGATAGGATGAATGGCGGAGCAGATGCGAGACGTGCGCCCCTTTGTTTTACAGCGGATTGTCAACGGCGAAAAAGCGGAAGAATTCTGGACAATTGGACCCTTCCAGCGCTTGCTCCTCATGACTCAAATGCAGATGTTGTAGCCCAGGCACTGAAGGCTTCTTGCCCAAAACACTCAGGCCCTGTGTTCCCGGAGATGGATCAGAGGCATTTGACGTGTAACTTTTGCGCAGTTCCTTCTGAATGGTCCGATGTGCCGAGCCTTGATTGTGTATCACGGCTTCGTTTCATGCAGGAGTGTCGAACAAGCGAGTGATTGGGAATATCTTCAAGAAAGCGCCGCAAAATCGTGAAGTGGGTGCGCTCGTAGTGGGAAAAGGCAGGCTGATCTTGTTCGTACAATGCCGTAGAACAACTCCCGGGCATCAGGATTTGCGAATGTATAGAGCTTGTACGATGTGCCGCTTGTGATGGCTCAAATTCTTAAGGCTTTACTTGCTATGGTGGACTGCCTCCCCTTGAAGGAAGTTTGACGAGAGTATGACATGTGTTACCCAGACCGGGCCTTTCATCTCTGATGTGCGGAAATGGCAGATTGGGAAAGCGAGCTTAATGCACATGTACGTACGCCAGAACGAGTCGTATTCCGCTTCCTCAGGATGGGAGCAGAAGGCCGAATGACCTGCAGGGTGGTAGTTGGGGCGGCAGTTGTCGCCCACAATGTCCCGCTCACAATGTCCCGCTGAAAGAGTTGGGTCCAAATTCGATGTCGCGAAAAATGAACGTGGTTGTGATTTGTATCGGGCTCAACCGTGTACATTGTCACGGCAATGTTACAGGAGATCTGCGCTTGATTCGCGTACTGCCATAGCTCGGCCACAAATGTTTTTGAATAGTATGTAGATATTTTCGATCATGTTTACGAACTCTTCGTTCCTGACGTGGTGGTCGCGGGGGAGGGGGCTTGAGGCCATTGGTCGGGGCGCAACCCCGGCTGCTTTTCCCATCTAATGTCAGCTAGGGCAAATTCCAAATTAAACTCAAGAAAGATAATAAAATAGTAAGCCAAGATTTAATAGTAAGCTCCGACTAACACGAAAAGTCCTAACCCAAAAAATACACTCGCTCCGCATCCGTACCCACCCTAACCACCAAAGTAACCCTACCCGTCCCAGTGCGGCTACCTTTAACTGTTCTCTCGGGTTATTCTTTTTCTCGAGTTTGATGCAAGATCCCCCCTATTTTGACCCGGTTTGTATTACTTGTGATGCCATGGGCTTGAGGCGAGCGCTTCAACTGCCCCGGGGGGGGGGGCTTGTGCCAAGTTGTGGCCTGTGGGCCGCGTGGCCCTCGATCAGGCTGCGTGAGCTAGAAAGTGGCGCCGCGGCCCGACTTCAAAATGACGGTACGTACCCTAAACATCCCTGGGTGTGGGACCGTCGAGGGGGGATGACGTGGCTCCCTGCCGGTCGCCTGGATTTAATGCCGAAATTCATGTGTGCTCATCATGAGCCTCATGGAGTGGCAACATTTCGTCAGAGTCGAGAAAGGTTGGAACTTGTCGGGTGGAGCATGCTGCATCCGACGCGATTCGCAACGTTGAACGTACCGTACGGCTGCCTCCAATGAATGATTTCCGCACAGGGGTGCTGCCCCGCGTCGCATTCTTCTCTTGAGTGCCACGCTGATTTGATCCTGGCCGCAAATTAGTTGCTGATGGGATCAAGGCGCGATCGGCTTCTCGAGCCTTCTCCATTTTAGGTGCAGTACCTCGCAATCTAGTGAGCTGGCAAGTGACAGTTGAGAACCTCTGCGCAGTTGTGAAAGTTGAAACTGTCAACGTCCTCCTGCATTGAGTTTACCTCAGCAACCTGATCGACCATACCAAGCGAAAGCAAGATTACTCTACATTCCTAGACCGCATTGTTGATCACTTGCAAGCCGCATCAGTCAGCTGTCTCCTGCTTTGATCGTCCAGCTACCATGGCCCGATCCCTCCCCCTCGTGTGCGTGGCCCTGACGCTCTCCCTTTTGGCGGCTGTGCCCTGCTCTGCGCAGACTAACCTCACCCAAACCCTCCTTAGCCTGCAGACTGACTCCACCTACAGCACCGTGGCCACCGCAATCGTTGCTGCCAACCTCACTGAGCCAATCGTGTCTCTGTCGGACTCTAGCGGAGTCACTCTGCTGGCCCCGAACAATGAGGCCTTCAATGCCCTGGGCAACGCTACTGTGAGCTGCTTGCTGGCGCAGCCGGGACTGGTCCTGCTCTCCACAGTCCTCAGGTACCATGTGATCGCTGGCTTCTACAATTCCACTGCGATCGTGGCGGCTGCGCCCGTGGTAAGTCTCCTGCCAGATCATCAATTTGAAATCAATCAGTGCATCAATAAGAAACGCAGAGTTTTGGCTCTTCTTGAGAATGATCCTTCTACCAAGCTCCTTGATTGGCATCTTATCAGTGAGTTCACATCAGAACAACGCGTGTGCCACTTGTAGAAACTTATGTATCCCAAAACTGTCATTTCTGAAGTACGCTAACTTTTAGTGAGCTCATAAATGAGCTCATTATTTGGCTGTTGCCAAATGAGGGGATCGTTCTTGAGCATGCTGGGTTCAGCTGGTTGTTCCTCAATGGAACTGATCAAACCTTCCCTCTTGCGTAAAAGTGAGACATCCCCAGGGCAGTCGGTTTCCCTTGTTGAATAGGGAGCGCTTGAACCGATCATGTTCGTCCTCTACCTCTTGTTTATGATTTACCTCAAGGAAGAGTTGGTTCATTGTATGCATTCTATATGCAAAGCTGTTTCATGATTGAGATTGGCAAGGTACTCGTATATAGGTTGAGAGTGCTCTATTGTTCAACCAGGGGAACAAGCTGGCTTTCCTTCACTTTTGATATTTAGCCAGAGGCAATGCAACCTGTTGATGGCTTTTCCCTCTCGCAGAGTAGCTGAACATTCTATGCGCAAACATTCTACTGCCCTGTTGTACCTGGCTCAAACTGTCTGCCTGGCAGACAGGCAAAGCTTTGCGAGTTCCATTGCATGCTTGTTATGTTCACATCTAGCAAAGGCTGCTGTTCCTGAGGGCCGCTTGTCCTGAGCAGTTCTTTTCAGTGATAGAAGACAAGATAGAAAACAGCTACTTCCCCACCCTGTCAAAGTGGGGCTCACAGGCGTTTAACGAGAGCCCTGAATTTCGTCTGATCATGCTGTTGCAGAGCCTGCCTTCTGTCCTTGGGCCCGACCTCAACATCACAGTTTCTGGTTCCACAGTCCAAGGTACGTTGTGAGATTACTTACAAAGTAATCTGTATAGTACGGATCTGCGAGGTAATCTGCAAACTTATCTGAGCAGGATGAAACATGAAATTATGATGCGATATCTTGCAGGAGATATTGTTGTGCAGGTGTCTCAGATTAGATGGGCACAGAGAAGCCGCTTGCATATCATCTGTTTGAAACACCATTGTGAGGCTTTTAGTCTAGTCTTCCAATGGTTTTTTTGGCAGCAAGCCCATGATTCTTAGAGACAGGAAGGAGGTCGCTGCTGCGCTCAATCTTTTCTGTGGAAATTGCGTAAGTCCTCCAATTCTTAGCACAAAAAGCAACTTTCTCTTCTCTCTCGATTCATGTCAAACTCGCACGAGAACGGATTTCATCAAAGAGAACAAGCCATCAACCTTGCCTCGAAGACCCTTCTTCACAGCATGCAGGGCGCCCTTTCACAAGCAGATAACATAGAAGGGTCTCTGGGCAACAAGTACAACACTGCTCCAGAAGTCATTCGATCTAGAAACGGATTGCAGGCCACTTCTTCTGCCGCTTCCCAATGGTTGCAGGTCATCGCTTTCTGAGAACTTTTGTGCCCCACATTCTTACACAATGTGTCCTTCTTCATGTGACATTTTCTTCAGCAATTTACCTCATATCTTGGAAAGTAATTTGGATGTAAAAGATGGTCGCAATAACACAACCGCTCAATCTTTGCAGTGAACACCGTGCCTGTGGTCGCACCGGATGTCATCCAGGCCATTCCCAGCGCCGTCGTTCACGGCATTAGCTCCGTGCTCATTCCCCCGGGGGGTCTCCAGGCTGTCCAGGCATACTGTGCTTCAGCTCCCACCACGCCCACACCTGTCGGAGCATCATCAGGTAGAGCGTCAATCGTTTACTGGTGTGCTCTTTTTCTTGAAATTCAAGAAATAATTGTAAGCCGGGATAATATCAAGGTAACCACACCGGGACCGGTAGGGTTAGTTTGGTGGTTAGGGTGGGTACGGGTGCGGAGCAGGTGCTTTTTTCGGTCAGGGTTTTTAGTGTTGATCGGAGCTTATTATTGTTATCTTGGCTTGATATCATCGAGTTTCTGTTGTCTGTCTCTTGCAAGCGGCTCTTGGCTTACAACCGCAGCAGCGTCCGATTCAGTGGCACTTCTAAGATGCCGCCTTCCATGAAGCATTTACTCAAATCCCCTCTTGTTTACCAGGTTCCTGAAGTGGAGCTTTACACTTCGGACTCTAAATTCTCAGCGGATTTGAGTTTCACGAAGATCAACCGTTCTGCGGTTCTCTGCGGTAGAGAAGACGCTGTGAAGCTGCTTTCGAATATGATTCTGATAAGCTTCGGTTGTGCGGAATTTGGATATTGTAGGCTCTCGTATGATGTTGTACACTTTCGAAAGCTCTCCTCGATTTGACGGTCGGACAATCGGGCTTCCATGTGACGGTTGATCCATCTGGAGACTTCTCAGCTGCGCCTAAACCTTATTCTAGGAAAGTTGCAGCCCAACTCAGCAGTAAAAACGTCGACCGAAATGTCACTCGGGTGTTGCACTTATGTATATAGGACTTGCCAGGATAAAAGAAGACATGCCATCCCATGTCGACCTCAACTGAATCCCATCACACCGGATTTTTCTGCAGGGCTTTTGTCGGGCTTCAACGGGCTCTTCGCTCTCGCCATGTTTGCGGTCTGCGCTCTCCAGGTACTGCTATAAGGAGCTTCATCGGAGAGATTTTCACCTTTTGATTCCTTAGTTTCAGACGAAAGTATGACATCGATGGTGCCACATTGGCCGCCGTTGATTGCAACAGCAAGCTTGTGAAAATGTGTAACTTCGTTTAGAAAGGTTTTGCGGGGTCAATGCCGAACATTGGCCCAACACTCTTCTCTGTAGCTGCACAAAAGGCTCTTCGCTAGGCGGCTAATCCCGTTGATAATTGCAAAGTAATGAAGGCTGTGATTGCATCTGCCCAGTTTTTATAGGCAAGTTGAAACTTACCTCTCCATGGATATCAGTACTCAGTTGTTGTCAAAGGTTTCTTGCTTAGCTTTTAGCGCGCAACTTATCAAGGTGGATAGAAGATAGAAGCACATGAGTCTTGAACAAGCATTTACCGTTTCAGGGTGACAAGGTCTTCTGAAACCTGTGACTTATGTCAGTCATGTGACAGTGTCAGCTAGATGTGGCATGTACGTGAAAGACTGAGCAACCAAAATCGATGGTACTGTATACGTGCCCATGCGTTACATGGAGGATCGATCATAAAATAAGCATTGTGAGTTGATTGCATGCTCGCAAGGCGTTGACCATCTTCAAGAATGTTTGACTAACCGACTTGATTATTCGTGTTGCATGGCCTTGTCTGTGCTCATCATTACATCTTTCAGTGCATTCTCAAGCTTCGATCAGCCTCTCAATCCGAGACGACTGATGTAACTATGGAACAAGCAGTTTGAGGCGGTCACGTACAGCCACAGAGCGTGTGCAACGGAACACTGAGATCCATGATCTGACCTCGACTCGCGTATATCGCGATTCTTTCCCATGACGGGTCGCCAAGCACTCCACCACAATGCGCTAAAAAGAATGTGACCGGCACATCGGACTAAAAATAACGCAACATAAAGCGTCGTAATATAACGTACAGATTGTAAAAGAAGCACGGAGAATCTTTGCGCCTGCCACTGAGTGGGGGCTGATTAAAAAACGTCAACGCGCAGATGATACAGCTCAGATGGGTGAACGGTACGCGTTAGAACGACTCTGGACACATTCTAATGTAACGTTTGTCATGTGGTTCTATCAGTGGCCGTGCATCAGCTAGAAGTCAAAACTCACGCTTAGCAGCGCATCCATGTCAATCGCCCGCAACAGAGGATTCATATCACGCTTGCAATAACTTAAGAGCACCGAGACAAGGTCCATTGCGTGTGTCCTACAGAGTCTTCATCTCATCCACCGATCCACCATGACGTCAAAACATCTTCGAAGCAATGAAAGAGTCTCTTTTCTCTCCTGTGTATACGCTGTCTATACAATTGCCGCTTTGCTGGACCTCGTGTCCAAGCTCCGCACGTGCCGCGGGTTGCTGTGCCCTGCGATCTCGAGCCCCGCCGTTGGACCTATGAGCTTCCCCGGTTCGGAGAACCCGCCCTTGCCTGAGCATGTCCGAGAAAGCGACTGCGTTTGTCCGCTTCCCGTTCTTAAACCCGACGCGCTAAGCGGCCGCGTGGCCCCCGCCGCGACGCGCGCGCTCGGGTCGCTGACGTAGGGCTTGCGTGTGGCGGTTCCGGGCCGGTCGGATGTCGGGCGCTGGGCTTCGGTATCAGAATTTGAGGCCCTGCAGTCGAATGTTTCATTCAATCAAACACGCAAGCAGAGTCTTCCTGAACTTGGATGTGGAACGTGCAAAAAACGAAGGAGGATGACGGCGCCTCAGCAAGAAGAAGCTGGGGAATCTCGCATGAAAGTATTCAACGTCAAACGAGGGAATCAAAGGTGCTCAATCACAGACTGAGGTGCGTGAGAGTGACGTATCATCGACTGCCAAGTCTGAGGCGTCGTTTTGCACATTGAGAAGCAGGTTTTGCACCTGGAAGCCATACGAGTGGGCTACGTCCCGAGCTTTACGACCTTTTTTCCGGAAACACTTAGCTGATCAGCCTGCGACGGGGCACGGGTTTACTTTGGGGTTTATCGTTGGGTATGGATGCGGAGCGGGTGAATTGCGCTTAGCTTTTCAGGTTTGCGAAGAACCTTACTGTTGCTAAAGCTCAGTATGGCTGAATGAATGAAAGAAAGAAAGTTTTGAGGTCCTCACCTGTCGTCACCTTCCCTGATGCTCGGAGCAGGCACCCGCCCTCTCCTGGGCAGGTCTTCCGCGAAGCCGTCCCTGCTCATCGGACGGCTAGGATTCAGCGAATCAAACGATACCCTCCGGTTGATAGTGCCCGGGGGGCTCTCCCCGGCCGCTTCTCTCCGGGGCTGGCTGCCACGTGGCAGGCTCTCACCCATCCGATCACGCGCAGACAGGTTTCCTGTCCTTCGATCTCGTGAAGAAAGGGTCTCAGCCGTACGATCCCGGGAGAGGGAGAGGTTTGTGGATTGTTGGAGGGCGGCGGAGCGACCCAGGGAGGACACGTGCCGCGCGGGGGAGGGGGAGCGGGGGTTGGGGGACTTGACGGCCTTGACGTGGAGCTCGCCGTCCGGAAATACGGACACCTGCAGAGGCGCGGAATCCGGACAGTTAGTGAGATAACGCTTCTGACTAAGCTTGAAGTAGTCCAGTCAGCTACGAGCCTGAAAAAGGTTATGCTTCACTGTAAGTCGAATCGCAATCCCTTAAAGCCGGGGAAAGGAGTGCGAAAAATTTGCAGCCTTTCGACTTTCTTGCCTTCTGCTTGACCACCGACTCCCGGAGATAAGGGGATGGAAAATTCCACAAAGCGCCGTTTGCAGCGAGGTCATTGAAAGTAAGCTCCTTCGTCTGAGTGCGTCACATGCGCTCAACGAAGTAGGAGTTTGAACATGAAAAGGACTCTTCGCTTACCTCGTCCATGGATAGCTTATCGACAGAGTAAAGGACCTCGGGGTCCGCTCCTCGCTCTAGGACCTTCAAGAGACAGAGATGCTCGGCGTCAGCACGTTTTAGCGGATCCGCATTGATGACGGACAAATACTCTTGGAAAACACGCTTGAAAACACTCTTAAGCGAGAACTCTCCCGAGGAAGCAGAAAGCTGGCGTATTACAGTACTGCGCTGGGGCAGCCATGGAAGGTACCGACTCATCGCTTCAGGGATATGATTACCCTATAAGTTGTGGAGATTGAATCTAAAATCCACGATCTTCAGAAGGCCATCCGTTGTACTTTGGAAGTTTCTGTGTGCACTTTAAGGGTCACGGGAAGAGGAGGAACGAGACGGTTGGCAAAGTTTCGGATAGGGACCAGAGAACTTACGTCGGACTTGAGAGCGCGCACGAGCGAGTTGAAGCTGGACCCCCCCTTGATGAGCATCTTGTTCCGCTGAACAAAGTTCTGCATCGATAGACAAGCGCCGTGTTAATCAAATGTTACATATTACCGTTGCAAAGCTACTCCATGGTGACAGGGAGAGCGGCTGTCAGAACGCTCTGAAATGTTCTTCAAATACCAGACGTAGCTGAAGGATACCGATCGCGCTTCTCTGAAAACTGCATGGCGCTTAGAGGAATAGGGAACGCTCGATGCTCTCGTCAAACGATTCACAGATCTCGTTCAAACTATGTAAGAACACACCGTTCGGCATATCGACGAATCGACCCAACGGATCACACAGAGGGAAGACAAAACGTTCTCACCCCGCTGAGCATCTTGTCCTTCATCGCGCGCATCTCGTCCTCCTGCCGCCGCTTCCCGTCCGCGACCGCGGCCTGCTCGCGCTGCAGCCGTCCGATGAGCTTCATCAACGCGTCGCGCTCGCCGGACAGCACCTCGCCCGCGCGCACCAGCTCGTCCGCGCGCGCGCGGCCCCAGTCGCCGGAGTCGATCACGCGCGCGAGGCGCTCGTTCTCCGCGCGCAGCCGCTTGTTCTCCTCTTCCAGCGTCTCCGCGCGCTCGTGGATCTGCTCCGCGCGCGCTTCGCTCACCATCTGGGTGACGTAAGAGCCAATAGGAGCCTCAGTCTAGATGAAAATTGGAAGACGTCGTAAATGGCTCTGTCCGCTGAGAATTGCCCTTGCTTTTCAGCTTGTTGTTAGATGCGAACCCAGAGCTGCCGTCCCTCTTTCAGACAACATGCTCGATAGCCTTGCCGTCAAATCCTCAGCTTTCTTGTCATACAAGGGTCGTCTGGAAGAGTTCACCGCCTTCACAGAAGCCCTCGGCTTGTGGATGGGTTCAAACTGAGGGACCTGCTCAAGCGTGCATGGATTCAAGTCAGCTGTTGATTACTTTCGAAACGTTGTATGTTCTCTGCAGACCCAAAGAAAAAAATTCCATCAAGGCGCTGGAGAGGGTCCCAAGCCTCCATACACTTGGTTTTCTTTAGCCTTGAAAATCTACCTCACCTGCATGTACGCTATCCACCCCTGGAACGCCATCCCCAGCCGTCGATTCAGCATCCGCTTGATCACTTTTTGCGCCCCTTCTCGCCGCCGTTTCTGATCGTGCACCGCTTCCCAGAGCCCCAAAAACGCCGCCGCTAGTTTCCGCTTCTGCATCTTGCATATGATTCCCTTCATCCTAGTTTTCTGCGCGCGCTTCGCGGCCGCGTACTCGGCCCACGTGGAGAAAGCGCGCGCCGCCCGCGCGTTCAGCAGCTTGCTGACGCACTTCGCGATCTTCTGTTGGCAGCTCTTGTGGTACTCGTGCTGCTCCTGCCACGTGGCGAACGCGCGCGCGAGGCGATACTTGAGCATCTTAAGAATGGCGCCCCTGCACAAGGTAGGAAAGGATGTAAAACATCGGGGGACTCCTCTTTATATGCATTACCATTTATGGACTTTCGTCTTCGATGAAGATTTCCCATATGAGAAGCTACTTCGTTTAAGGAATTTTATTTCAGACGTTCCTGCTCTGCCCGTGCGACTAAATTTCCTATAGCCTTTGCCTTGGGCTCCATACCTGACGCTCACACAAATCTCCTGACCACGGATTCTACTCACTCAGCTTGTGCTGGACCATTCCTCTTACTTCGAGGACGAAAAAATTGCACCAGAATATCATTCACAAGTCTTCCTCTTTCTGGATTCTAGAACCCGCTTGAGAAAAACATCCAGAGGGAAAAGCGTCGGTGAGAACATGAGAAATTCGCGAGCGAGAATGGAGTCGTACCTTGCGGCGTCTTTCTTCTGCTTCAGCTCCGCCGTCGCCTGCCGCCACGCCTCGAACGCGCGCGCCATGCCACCTTTCGAGATGTGCACCATCACGCGCCGGATGCGCTCGCGCTGCGCGCGCCGCGCGTCCACGCCCTCCGCGAGCGCGTAGAACGCGCGCGCGAGCCGCCGCCTGAACATGGTGTTGACCGCGCGGCGACCAATCTGCTCGCGCCGCTTGTCCTCCAGGTCTTTCACCAGGCGCTTCTCGCGCAGCGCGTCGCCCTCCGCCTTCTGGCGCTCTTGCACCATCCCCAGCCACGCGTTCCTGACGTCAGCAAAGTAACGGGTTTAGCAAACGGTTACCGTTGCTTCTCGTTCTTAGACCTGGCACGGGACAGATACAGATTTGGCGGAAAGAGAATGCAAGCCTGTAAGTCAAAGTACATCAGGATAAAGCGCTACCGCGCCTTGAAGAGGAAGTTGCACGACGAATATAACCGTCTGTCGTTGGGTAAAGGTACTTTACAATCTCTCATGGTGACCCTGACGTGTGCAAATGCAGATTTTGCCGCCCCTGGGTCTCACTCCTCAAAACACCAGACCCAGGGTATCCTAACCACCTGGATAGGAATCAATCAGGCAATGGCAGTACCGGCTTCGTTCTCTCCCAACAACGTCGCTCTTTTTTGCTCTGGCCACCTAGCTTCTCTGATTGCCGCCTCACCAGACGTTTTGGAGCTTCCGTTTCGTGAGAACCGCCGTTACCGACTGCCCGAGCCGCCCGATCTTGTTCTCGTGCTGCTGCTGCGCGCGCCAGTGGTCGAAGCAGCGCGCGAGCAGGCCCTTGCGGATGCGCGCGAGCGCCTTGCGCAGCAGCATCTTGCGCCCGCGCTCCTCGTCCACCGCAATCTGCCACGCGCGCAGAGCGGAGCGCAGGGTCTTGAGCTGGCCGCGCCGGATCTGCGGGGCAGGGAGAGGTCTGACTCGAGAGCATCGCGGATTGCTTCGCCGAAGCCTTTGGTTCGTCAATCCAGTTCAGAACGTCGACAACGCTAGAACACGCTGGTTCGTTTTTTTAAGAGCTGCTGTCCAACAGTCCCAACAGGATTCCAGACTGCTCAGGTTTAGACGAGAGAACTTCAAGCCAACATTATCAGCGAAGCTTTTTATCGATTCAGATAGATAAGCATGTTGCCCGCTCCGTAGATTGTAACCTGGGCTTCATAATGCGGAGGGTATCGTGCGCTGTCCTGTCACCCTTTCCGATACCCCATCGATCTGCTGGATCAGTTCTTCACGTTGATATCTGCTTCGCAATTCAAGCGGCACTCCTTGAGAGTAAGACACCACCTCAACCATGCAAGGCATCATTCAAGGCCAAGGCTGACACCTCAGAAGCCCCGCTGGGTTCTCACAAGCGGCAAATGCGTCAGGATGTCAAGTATAGCTGTGATTACCCTTCAAATCGTGCAGAACAGATGTCTGGAGGTGAGTATGTCTTCGGCAAGCGAAGAACAAAAACTAGTCGCAACGGCATGATCTGTGCGAAAAAGGCTCTTTTCTGATCGACGAGCGCGGAGCCTGTTCTTTGGCCCAAGACAGGAGGACTAGGAAGTGAAAGAATAGAGGAGAACTCACAGGGTTGTGCAATAAGTACGGAGACCAGGCGGAAAAGTGCCCCTGCTGAAGGTGACTTCGTAACTTAGAACACGAGAATGTACAATGGGCCATCGGACTTTCTTATTGCTCACCTGCCGCTGCATCATTGCCTTGTTGCTCTCAATGGAAATTTGCACCTTCTTGGCGTCGAGGGCAAGCTGGTCTAGCTGCTGGTAGGCGACTTGCATGGGTAGATTCTCCTGGCCCAGGACGCCGCGAAGGCTCTGCAAGGCCAGAGGAACTGCTCAATTTCACGTTGAGGACTTTCAGAGCTTATTTATTTCGCTCGTGAAAGAAATATTAGGCCTTGATTCGAAAACGTGGCTGCTCGTGCAGCCGTCTTGTACAAGACTGAAAAACTTGCTCATTAAATTGACGTTCGCGTGCATATCTTCGGACCAGAAGATTTCATGGTAAATGGCCACGGATTGTGAAGGGACAATCTGTTTATCGGATACGATGTTGGCGACACCACTAACTGGAGCTCTCAGCACCAGCGAACGAGGTCGTCAGCTTAGAGCAACTTCGAGTTTCAGTCCAGCCAAGAGGGGTTCTGTCAAGAGTCTCGTGTTGTCATTCTGGCGCTCAAGTGGACCGTCCTTTCACCGGAACATCACGCAATCAAGCAGAGCTCTGCAGCAAAAGTGAGTTTGCTTATCTTAGCAGACAGTGCAGATTTGACCAAGTCGAAGCTCACCATCATTTGGCCTTTGTATTGCTTCGCCTTCTTGTTGCGCATCAGGCTGCTTGCGGTGCTGTGCTCACTGCGGGGAGTTGCGGCACTGCTTCCATCTCCATAAGCACCCCTCGCATCATTTTTTCGTGCTCCCAAAGACAGCCGCTTGAGCGCTTCAGGCTCAGGGGGGCCCCACTGTCGCCTCATGGACCCTGCAACAGCAACAAGAGTAGGAAAAAGTAAGCTTGCTCTGGTTCGAGTAGCTCTGGAGTAGAAGGGGACTAGAGTACAAGCGGAGGATCACAGTCTCTTGATATACGCTATTTCATATCATGCTTATGCAACAGCTGTGAGCTCCACAGAGAACAAGCATCATTGTTTGCATTTTGTCACCGTAACCTAGCCTGGCCTGCAACAGAACCAATCACAAAACTACAGCCTCTAACACCAGGATTAGATGAAGAACTGCAAAGAAGACAGCCATGTCATTTGCAGGACGGCAATCTCCTAGAGTTCGCCATTTTTGCCTTACCTGAGCTAGTCCTCCGGTCCGGCAGTCCCTTGATGTCCCGATTTTCCACCACTCTCTTTACCCTTTCGTCATCAGAAGAGTCGCCCCTCTTTCCCCCACCTTGTCGCCCCTCCTTCGCTGCACTCATCCTCCGACTCCGTTCGCTACCTCTCAAAGAGCTCCTTTCCGATTCTGAGCCAGAGTCCCTTTCCACTCCCTTTCCACTCCCCGACCCTCTTTTCGGCGTATCCTTGCTTTTTCGAGCTCCCCTGCGACTGTCTTCGCTGTCAGAGCGCGCCTTGGGGTCTGGGGACATGCTTCGGTCACTGCCGGCGTCATCTCTTGTCAGGTCGGTTGCTGCCACAGACCCTGGGGAGCGTGGAGTCTCCCCTCCCTGCCTGGGACTCACACTTCGGCCTCTGCTTCTCTCACCCTTTGACCTTCACGACAGAGTGGCCAATATAAGCTTAAGCACAGTGGAGCAGGTCTTTACCTTGCTAGCATCAGACGATTGTTGAGCACGAAAGCTGAAATAGGTTTGCAATCTAAGTTTACCTTATTTGAGCAACTAGAGATGCACCATTGTACTGGAACGACGCCCTTTGCAAAGCGCTCCGTAAGGCTGCAGTGGTTTTGTGACGCCCAACATTGGAGCCAACAGCTGGTAAATGCAAAGCAGACAGCATTGCCTCCCAATCAAGTGCTTGGTCCTATCATTCCCCATGGCTAAGCATCTTACCTTACCAGTAAAGTCTGCAAATGCATGTTTCCTATCTGCAAAAAGCAAGAATGCCATGCATGCTTTGCGGTGTGGCACCTCTTGGTAGCACCATCTTTTCAAAGCACTTGTGGTAATTTAGCAGACAGCTTACCCCCTGCTGCCCCGACTTCCAAGCGAGCCCCTTGAGCGCCTGCTGCCCCTGCTCCTCTCACTGATCGGTTCACTGGCCGCCCCATCTCTATCCGAATCATGAGACTCGCTGACTGACCGGTTGGACCGTCCCGTGCGAGAATCTGCCCTGCTCGATGGCCGGCTCTCATCGTCTGAGCCAGCCTTTCTTCGTGAGCTTCTGGCCCCTGGGGTAATGCTGACTTGGCTACTCTCCTCGTCTCCCATATCAGTGCCGTCGCTCTCTCTCTCGGACCCCATTGCGGGTACAATGCTGCTCTTTGCACGGCTTGCATGCCAAAGGTACCTCAACTTAAGACAACATGCATAGTGGTACCGCCCTTCAGGCTCGACAACAATAGGGGGCGCTTCTTGTGCTTGCCTCCGTACTTACTTCACAGAAAGCAGACAATCAATCTCATATGCACAATGTAAACAGGCTTGAGTCAGTGGACAGTCCTGCTGGCAAATCCACGATTCAATCGAGCTTGATTTGGAACGTAATGCTATTGTAGATGTTTGGCATACTGACCGTGGTGCTGGTGACAACTTTGAGTTTCGCTTATTATCCACAGCGTAAAGAATCGGTGATCTGGTGCCTCGTATATAGATTCTTGTTGACTGCAAACGACTTAGCGCTAGCACTGGATGCCCTGGCCCCTTCTGTTGGTGCCAGGCTTTGTTGAGAGCCCCAAATCGTCCAATTCAGAGATTCCCACGATACCACCTATTGCCAAATTGTATTGCTCAACAAGACTGGATTCACCTGTCCGAGAGGCAGACTGGGAGAGTACAAACAGGGCATGGGCATCAATCTCATGCTCAAACGCTATACTCACGTGCCTTCATTTGAGTAGCTGGTTTGCGCCTGCACGAGCGCCGGCGTACCGGGTCAGTATGTGATACTGTGACCACGACCGTCGATCTGCATGAGGTGACGCATCGAGCTCGATCGATACCGTTCATGTGCGGTACGGCACCACAGGCAGTCGACCGCGACCTTGTGCAGGAAAAATATTCGTACCGCGTCCGCGACTCCTGCAGGGCTAATCACACATGGTCACTTCTTTTTATACACGCTCTAAGGCACCTGGGCCCATGTCAGAAACAAGCAATTTCGGAGTGATCGGACTTCATCAAGAAATTAGGTACATGCAAGTTGGCCATCCTTGACAGTAACACGATCAACTCAGTAGAATCCTAGGTTCCAAACACTAATAATAGCTAGGCGCAATATATCGTACAGAAGCTCAATTGTTTCTTGGGTAATCCCCGAGCTCGAGCAAGCTGCGCAGTGCAACTCAATTTAGTCGATCTTAGTCACGTACTATATAGACTTGAATTTAGATGTTTGAACGTCGGTTCGGAGCCGTGGTCGGCTAAGTCGACGATATATCCTCATCAAGGCGCTAGCTATCCTAATCAAGTGAACTACTAGATGACCTATGGGGTATGGCTACGTACATAGGACTTGCAAGCAACGCATGACCCATTCGAGATTCAAGTGGCATGCAATCAATTCCCTTTAACATCAAGCATGTTTGATAGAAGAGCACATGCATGTGTATGTACGTTTAAGTATTCTTAAGCGAATGTGCTACTTATGTCCAACTAGATAGCTCGGAGTCGCCGAGTCTAACACAGCAATTGCGATTAAGGGTCTGGCTCTGAATTTGATCTTTCACGAGCCTGATCCGATCATGTGAGTCCGCCAACTATGTGATCGTACCTATGCCTTGGTCAGCAACCAATGACTGTATGACCAATGTGCCCCTAGGTCCGCTCATAAACATTACCGGGACTACTTTACAACGGATTTTGTGTGGATTTACCTTGAGATCTGCCCAGTCCTCAAGGATTAGTAAGCGGATACTCTTTGATCTCTCAAGGCTTCCTATCCTACTACATTTCGTATGCCAATCTTTTGCTTGCAGCATGTTACTAATGTACTTCCGACAGTACCCAAGGAGTTCCGAAACGTGTGCCGTATCAATAAGAAGAGCGTGCTTTTGGTTATGTACCTAAGTAAGCAGTCCAGATTGTAACCCTTGCCTAGCCCGAAGGTCCTACTGACTTGCGCTAGACCCGCTTCTTTTGCGAGCGTGTGCCCAACTTCTATAATTCTTTATTCACGTGCATCGCCCTATCAATGTAGATTGTTACGCAGAACGGTGCTCGTTACTCAACCCGCCAATCACTCCGACTTTTCCTCTCCTTCAGAATCGAAGTAGAAGTACTGTTCAATTCCAGAAACCTGCCTTGCCATCCACCCCTCCTCCCAATTCAGCTATTCCCGCTCAGTTATACTGTCACACGCGACATTATGTCAAAACAAAAGAGCCACTCCAGAAACCGGAAAGCCCCCGTGCCCCGCTCATGCGGACCGTGCCTCCACTTCCCACCGCTTCACCAGCTCCTCCACCGGCACCTTTTCCACGTCGTCCCTCTGCCCCAAGTCCGTCGAAACGCGCGACAGCGTCACCATCCCCAACGCCATCGCCGCAGACACATACGGGTTCGCCGTCAAGAGCCGCGCCGGGAAGATCGACGCTGCAGCGATCACCGCGCCGGCATGCCCCTGGACCTGGCAGCTTCTGCCACGTGTCCCAAAGCGCTCGTGCGCGCGTATGACGAGGCCGGTCTTGCAGTAGAGGGAGAAGTCCTCGCAGTTGTTGTGGAACAGGTCGTAGTCGCCGAAGCCCCTTTCGAGGAGGAAGTGGGCGCGCCGCAGGACCTACCGAAAAGAGGGCATACGTCAGCTGCGGATCGTTCAGACTGCCAACAAGTGCTGGGCGAAAAGAGAGAGATTGCCACAAGAGCACATCAATGAATTGCTGCGGGCCTGGAGTATTGATAAGCTCATGCAGGACGACAAAACCCTTGAACAATCGCAAACTCTACTACAAATCCGTTGACCACTCAAATCCGTTGACCATAACGAACAGAAGCAGCTCAGCTCTGGCATGAAATGTAGAAAAGAAGGGGCTTCGCCTGCAAGTCGAGTAGCTCAGATGGACACCGCCTTAATGAGGAAAAGCTGCAGTTGATGAAACTCACCTCGTCAGCAGGATCGGACGCAGCCGTGGTGCACGTTCCCGAAAGCTTGAGCGCCTTGGTGACTTGCATGACGCCTGCACAGAAGCAGCGGGCACTCTGAGTGGATGCGAAACAAGCTATTGCTGCTTATATTGCTGAACCCTACCTTTCGTAACACATTGTAGAGCTTTCAAGAATAAAAGTGAAAAGAATTATTCAGAAACAGGTCGCAAAACGTTGAATGCCTGGACACATAGTCAACCGCCGCAGGGAGCGTGTTCAGCAAGGGTACTCAGTATGGTGGTTATCTCATTGCTGCACAGCACGCCTGTGTCTGCCGAACCAAAGGAGCCGAAAAAAGCTTTTCTATTAGAGTAGTCATCGAAAGAGAAGCAACAAGAACATCAGCTGATAAATGTTTCAGGTCCTCCAAAAACTCCAGACCGCCAGAACGGTCAAAAGACGATCTCAGCTATTTTGCTCACCATACTCAAACCGGTAGAGTTGGCCGCCGTTCAGAAAGCACCCAAGGCAGCTCTTGGCAACCCCAATCTTCTCAGGGGTCGCCCCGTGCACTTCCATGCCCGTACACAAGCAGACAAGCGGTCCCCCTGGAAGGGAGTTCTCTGGCCGGAGAAAGCTGCCGGTGAAGAAGTTGTCAGCCCAGGTCCCGCGTGCAGAGTGTGAGGGCCCGGCAGAGGACGCCATACTCGACGTGAATAAGCTCAGGGTGGAGGCCGTGCTGGCGTCAAGATCATCCTTGGGTTCGCGGTTGAAGTGGATGACCATGTCATCGCCAATATAAACGCCTGCGAGGAAAAAATCTTGGAAGTGGGTAGAGGAAGGATTGGTGATTGATTGCTATTGCGAGTTGGTGTGAATTGGGCATGACTAGAACTACTTGCTGAGTATTTAAATGCAGGGCTTTGAGTGTAAAAGATGGGCAATGCAACTGCACGCTGAACGGGGAATGCAAAAGTCAAGCCTGCAGGAACTACTTTTGGTGAGGGGTTGAGAAGAACCAGACCGGCGGGTGTTTCAGATTAGAAGCGTCAGCTTGCAAAAACCATATCTGCAGACTTGTTAAGAGTGACTGGTTCTTCTCACTGTGCTCCCACCGCCCACGAAATATACACAGAAGTGAAGGGTTTGGATGGGGGGTGGCTATTCAAGCTGACCATATGACTCTGTGATGTGATAAAATCGGGCATGGTATGGCACTGACAGGACAGGAACGTCTGAGCACGATGCTGTGCTTGCTGAAAACACCTTCACAAATGTCAAGAGAGGCACTGCGCTTCTAGGTGCTATGTCAGAAATGACTGACAACTGAGTCAGACCAGTAGTTTGTAAGCCACAACCTGCTCAACGCTGTCAAAGTTCTGAGCCTTCAATCGAAATTGAACCAACGCAAAAGGAACAGGCGATGGAAGAAAGATAAGCTACGGGCAGCAGAGCGGACTGCCCTTGAAACAGGGTACTGTACAGAAAAGAAGCTTCTGTCCATGCATCAACAGTCAATTCCTATGTGAACACCACTGATCAACGAGGACGTTTGGCAATAGGGCTTCTGCTATTGGAGCTGTTCCATCCAGAAATAGCTGCAGAGTCGGTTGGATTGGGAGGGACGCTATATTGGCGTCTTCCACCAAATAAAGTCACCGTCCAACGCTGCTTGTAACCGCTGTTCAACACGATGGCCTTACCAGCACATACGAGACAGTACGAGCAGCCAATTCGCAAACTCGAAGGTCGCTGCAATGCTGCAATTCTGTGACCAAGTTTAAAAAGATGCGAAACAAGAAGCAGTGGCTTCATCGTCACTCTCAGCTCAGTGGAAGCGGGGGAGGTTTCAACACTCTTATATGGTTCTTTTCCCCGGCTCCACTCACCATGATGGGCGTATATCATGTTTCTCCAAGAGTAGATATGGTCCCCCACACGAAGCTGCGAGTAATCAATCTTGTTGGTCAGGAGCCCCGCCAAACCCTCCCTCACACTGAGTGCTGCCATCCTGCCCCTCGAAGAGACAATTGTGATGCTCTTGGGGAAGGGGGCCTTCTGCAAACGATGCCCCTCCACCCCTAGCGGCAATTGTGCTCTGCTGCAAGACTGGGTGCATAGATTTACCAGAAATTCACGGAGGTTTTTTTTTAATGGAAACGGCGCTTCTTCTTCTACTACATCACCCATCTGCCATTCTGGACAAGGACCCTGACCAGCCTTCGCTTCTGCAAAGTGGTCCCCTGGGCCCTACCACCACCCTTTTCCAATCAATAGGCCGTCTCCTTCGAGCTTTCAAAGTACCTGCACCCGTTTAGACTCATGAACAGGACACCTTCTCCAATTCCTTCAGCATGGAGGCTCAGGAGTCAGGGCTATAGCTGTAGTAAACCCTTGATAGCACAAC